TTTCCGGTACCAGGGATCGAACTCATGTCCTTGCATTTGCAAGGCAGGCGGCAGAACCTCTGAGCTAAATCCCTAGCCCTGGAAAATATATATGTATATTTTTTGTTTGCTTGTTCTCGACCTTGTATCAAAATAAAAAAATAAAAGGGCTGGAGTGCAGCAAGGATAGGCTCAAGACTAGAACACATACATGTGCCAGGAGGGGTCTACCTGCACAAGCACCCTTTGCTGAACACCTACATTTAAAATGGTCTGCACATTAAATTTTGAAAACATTGTCATGATTTTAACACCATACCCCTGACCTGTACAAACAAGACATCGTGCTTAATATTTAAGGCCCATATGTTATCTTAGGACCTGGAATTACGGTACATCTGAGCCACAGGTACATGTTCAATGAGGATTTCCTTCTGACAAACAAGTCTGAGGCAACAGCGGTGAGAACCAAAGGAAGGATTTGCCCCACCCCAGCCATGTCCCATGTGTGCTTCCCAGGGCACCAGAAACATTAGGTTGGGAGGAAGGGTCTGGCACCGCCATATCCTACCCATTCCAGAACATGGTCAGGGCACCAGTGTGCCAGTGACGGACCCAGATTTGCCTAATCTAATTATGACCGTCCAGACCTCTCCTTTCCATCTTCCCTAGAAATTGGAGTCTGGGTAGTTGGAAGTAACTCAATCCTGATCACAATGGATGATATGTGGAGCTCTGATAAAGGGGGAGATATGAGTACCAATGATCTTTTGGACTTCTCTTTTTTTTCCTGACTGGAGCACCAATGCAATGGCTGGAGCTGCTGTGGTCACACTGCAACCCCAAGGAAAGGTCAGGGGAATCCCAGAACCAGGGGCACTGGGATCTCTCAGATGCCAAGCCAGCCCTAGCAACAGCTGACTCAGGGCTACTGCTTTGGGAGAAAAATTTTCCCCTTATCTTTATATTCTAACCTGGCTATAAGATATCTATAGCTAAATACAATCATTTCTGGTAAGAGAACAGAGGAAGGGTGCAGGAGCTGGTTTGCAGATTTGGTATGCAAGAGTAAGATGGAGAACATAAAGGGCAGGTTTATGCATCAGGAAAGGCAGCAGAGGAGGCTGACGAGATAGGATTGATCCAGAGAGGATGATGGGGTGGGTGGAAGAGAAGAGGTGGATGCACTCCAGGGTCAGAGGAAGGAGCACACAAGGTAGGAGGCCATCCTCAGAGGCCTGCTTTACAAGCATGGCTCAGGGCTGCATGGGAAGTGTGGGCTTTGGCAAGGCTACCCAGCCTAACTGTAGGAGTGACCACTTCACCCCAGAGGTTAAGCTCACCACAGGGCTCACCCCTCTGTGACCAGGCCCCAGAAAATTCCAACACTGGCAGGCTTCCTGCTGGACCATATTCCTTGGGTGTGGTCGTGGTGCACTACTGTGGGAGTGGAGCTTGTCCTGGATGGCTCTACTCAGAGGTTCAGAAGTTGTTGGCTAAATTCCTCTGCACTTCACCCCAGCTGGTTTTGCTCTCTATCCTCTGGCTACAGAACTCTGCCATATCCTGCAAGGCCTCTTTGGAAAGGGGGTGCCACGAGGGTCCCCAACAGTAGCCTTCCCATTAAACAGATCTCTGGTGACCCTCTTGGCTCTCACCTGAATGGCAGCTCTGGGTACATCCTCGGTCACTAGCCCAGAACTCAGCCCCTTGCTCCAGCTGGGAGATGACATCGGGCTTAGGAAGCTCAGGACCTGGACATGAAGAGACAGCAGAGGTGGAGGCTGCTCTGAGAGGAGCCATGGTCCCAACCCAGATGAGGTTAAAAGGCTTGCACCGCGTAGAGGAGAGCAGACCCTCTTCCCACACATGTGCCCACTGGAACAGACTCAGGTTGGGTTTGAACACCAGAGGCCCCATGGCCCAACCCTGCAGCAGGGGAAGCAGGCCTCACCAACAGACAGCAGGTGCCCGAAGGTCTCCAGCATCACATCGCGGTACAGAGTCCTTTGTGTAGGGTCCAGCTGTCCCCACTCCTCCTGGGTGAAGTCCACAGCCACATCCCGGAAGGTCACTGGTTCCTGAAAGAGCATGCAGCCCTCAATCATCTGGACCACCCCCATCCATGCTCTAGGGAGGGCAGAGGAAGAATAAGGAAAGAGAAAACAGGCAGGCTGGGGTCCTGAGGGAATGCAGCTCCCGGGCAATGCGTATGGGAGCACCCAGCACGATCAGTGTCAATCCCAGCTGACTCACTGTTGGTCAGACAACGATGGCGTCATCAGAAACCAGCTGAACCAGTGATGTGCAGGGTTCTGAGCCAAGGAAATGGCTCCTGTGTCAAGACACGAGTTTTAAGGTAGTTTATTACACAGCAACATCCACTAATACATCTACTGACCCTTAGATAAAAAGCTGGGCTCATGATCCTCCCAATCACAGTTAGCAACTCCTCTTCCTACAGGCTCATGTGACCAAAGTAGACAAAGAGAAGAGCCCATAGGGCCTTACCCTGTGAAGAGTGGTGCCAGAGATTAGGAGGAAGCAGGTGCCCTGTGTGGGGGCACCAGGGTCTCTGAAATGACTGACTGTGGGGAAATACAAGGCCCATGTGGTCAGAACTGCCAATTTCTAGAGACAAGGTAGAAATTAGGTCAGGTTTTTATGTGAAAAATTTCAACTTTTGAGCCAAGTGTGGTGGTAAATGCCTGTAATCTCAGCACTCTGGGAGGCTAAGGTAAAAGGATCACAAGTTCAAGTCCAGCCTGGACAATTTAGTGACTTATCAAGACCTTGTCTCAAAGTAAAAAATAAAAAAGGGATAGAGATATAGTTCAACACAAAGGCCCTGGGTTTACCCTCCAGTGCCACAGCTAACTGAATATATAAGTAACCATTCCCCCCCATCCTGTAAATTGATACAGAGTATCTAAAATATGTCCCTTAAACAAAATCCTTCAGAGGGCCACCTGTGCCTGGGTCACAAAGCCAGATATTCTGATCAGTCCCATCTTAGCTGCTTCCTCCCCAGGAGGCACTAAATATGTACCCAATTCTGCCTCCCAGTTTCCAAGTATATAAAGCACCATTCTTTTAGGGCTGAGGTGGGAATTAAGTGGCCAAGAAATGCTTCCTTTGGAATAACTGGATAGTCACGTGCAAAAGAAAAAAAGCTGACTTCCTATCTTATACCATATAAAATAATTAAATAAAAATAGATCAAGAAAATAAATATAAGAGCTAAAACTATAAAACTCTTAGAAGAAAACATAGGGATACATCTCTGTGACCTTGGACTTGGCAAAGGATTCTTGGCTATGAAGCCAAAATCCCAAGCAACAAGAAAATATACAAATAAATTTGATTTCATCAAAACAAAATGTTTTTTTTTTTGACACCAGGAATTGAACTCAGGACCTTGCACTTACGAGGCAGGTGACGAAAACAGAATGGTTTGATTCAATGGGCACTCTTAAGGGTAAAAAGACACAACTGTAAATCATATACCTGATAAGAGATTTATAACTAGAATAAAGAACTCTACAACTCAGTAATAAAAATAAACCCAATTAAAATGTGCAAGATCTGAAGAGACTTTAAAAAAAAAAATACAAAAGTTGCAAATAAGCACAGGAAAAGATGTTCAACATTAGTCACCAGAGAAATACAAATCAAAACACAAAACCTTCAATTAAAAAAAAGTATTTCCTTTAAAGAAAAATAACATAAGTAGATTTAAAAACACTAAAGAAATTCTGGGTGGCTTTGACAGGAAATGTGCACCAGCCTTTGGCTGGGAATGGAGGTCTCTGCTCTTATCCATGTCCTCCTCTTCCAGCTGAACGACTGCCAACCTGACACACAGTTCCTGTGTCTCTTGCCCCACCTGCCACCACTGCCCACTTTGCATGGTCCTGGGGACAGCCAGGAAGCCACAGAGTACTGGTCTATTCAGGCTTTGAGACCGACTCCTCAGCGCCACCACAAGTATCCTTCCTGCGTGGGCCCTGCTGTCTTGTGGGTCTCCCTGCCGCTCTCCTGCTCTGCACCCCCGGGGCCAGGAAATGGGATGTGCTCAGATCTGTCCTCCAAGTCAAGCTGCACTGCTGGCCAGACCACCCAACGCCAGTTCATTCTTTCTTCTACTTCCATCCTTCAGACGCCTGAGGGTGGGTCTTACCTCCAATCCCAGGTCAGTCCTACTTAAACACCTGACTGTCTCCTCTTCAATTTCGGATAGACCAGAGCAATGATGGCAAACCTTTTAGAGACTGAGTGCCCCAACTGCAACCCAAAACCCATACACTTATCGCGAAGTGCTAACACCGCCTCTTTGTGTGCTGTTATCCCATCCTTTGCTGCTGGGGCAATGCTGGGGTGACATGGCTCAAGTGCCCACTGCAGTGCAAGTGCTAATGGTTTACCATCACGGGACTAGAGCATGATCCCTTGGCCTGCCTATGGTAGGCAAAATAATGCCTCCTCAAAGATACAGTATCTAGGTCACATTTCCCAGAACCTGCAAATATTGGTGTACAGCAAAAAGGACTTTGCAGTTGGATTAGGATTTTAAAATGGAGAAATTATCCAGTTGGGCTATAAATTTAATCACAGCCTGGCATGGTACCACCCATTTATAGTCCCAGCACTTAGGAGGCTGAGGCAAGAGGACTGCTGCAAAGCTTGAGACCAACCTGGGCTACATAGTGAGTTCAAGGCTACCATGAACTATATATATATAGCGAGATCCTGCCTCAAAAAACCAAAACCAGGGCTGGGGATTTAGCTCAGTGGTGCCAGCACCTGCCTCAAGTTTGATCCCCGGTACACACACACACACCCAAAAACCAAAAACCAAAACCAAAAATCAGAAACCAAAACCAATGACATGGACACGGGCCAGGGATTTAGCTCAGTGGTGTCACAGCCTGCCTCACAAGCACAAGGTCCAAAGTTGGATCCCCAGTACAATAAAACAAAACAAAACAATCACAAATATTCCTGTAAGAGGTATGCAGAAAAGATTTAACTGTAGAAGACAGAAGGCAATGGGCACTGAAGCAAGATGCTGCAGTGCTGGCTTTGAAGATGGTCCAAAGGCCATGGGGCAAGGAATGCCAAGTCTACAGCTCTCGGCTGGAAAAGGCAAGGAACAAAGGAACAGTGAGACTCATGCCAGATTTCTCATTTCTAGACAAAATGTGTGCTGTCTCCAGCCACCAAGTTTATAGTGATTTGTTGCAGCTGCCGCAAGAAACTAAGATACTGCACCCGACAGCCCTACACATTTTTTTTTTTTTTTTTTTTTTTTTTTTTTT